TACAGTTTATAACTTGTATAAAACATTTATTCAACAGTCATCTCAAATAAACAATCAATATAATTACACATAACACGTATTTTATAGAAAATACTTCATATCTATGTGTAAGATGAAAGTGACTATACACTCACTTGATTTGATGATAATCGGGCAGCAATTCGTTCCCTAAAATGATTGTTTCTGATAAAACCGGGAGTTTTATTGAGAAATCAGGCTCTGCAAGGGTTGGAGCTTCAAAACCAAAAAGATAAAATTTTCCGGGTCTTCGGGCACTTCGGGACGTATTCCGGGCTTTAAAAATGATAGCGGGGCTTCGGGGGAAGTCAAAATAGTCAAAATATGGAGAGAGAGAGAGAGAGAGAGAGGGGGCAAAAATGGAAAATTTCTAATCCTAGTCGACAAATCTCGCAACCCCCCTATTTATAGGGTGCGAGACTGGGGACTGATTGGCTAAGGAGGCTCCACGTAGCAGGTTGCGGGGCTCGGACATGGAGGCTGAGAAGCGAACACGCAGCAATAGGGGGTTCGGACACGTCTCGCATGCGAGGGCTTGTTACCGAGGTCACACGCGTCTTCAGATGATTGGACCGGAGCTCGGACTTAGAAGGATGCGACATGCATTTCTCCTCAGACGTGCCACAATCAGATGATGCTGCTGCTTCGGACACGGGGCGAGGGTGACGTGGCCGACTCCTATCCATGCGAATTATTCGAAAATTGCACCCAAAACTTCTAAAATTCATTACTTTCGCATACGAGCTCCGTTTTTGATGTTCTTTATATGCAGGCGTAGGCGGGAATATATTCTACAACTTTCGTTTAGACTTCATCGGCTAATTTTGAAGTTAATTTTAATATTATTATTTTTAACAAAACGGGACAGGAAAATTCGTTAAAAATTCATAACTTCTTCATCCGACGTCCGTTTTCGTCAGTCTTTTTACCATTGTACTACTATTAACGAGACCTTCGATTCTCATTTAGGTTATGTCGGCTAAATATCGCTCGATTTTAAATTCAAGTTTTTAGCTGTCTACTGCTCCGCTAAAATTTAGAAAAATCATAACTTCCTCATACGAAGTCAGATTTGGACGTTATTTTTATCAAATTTCTCAGGTTAACGAATACTATGACTTTTGTTTAGATTGTTAAGGCTAAAAAGCACTTTATCGTAAATTCACTTTTTACGCTTCCCGGTGCCATGCCGGTTCCGTCGCGAAACTTCGACAAGTCATAACGTTTTCGTTATAACTCGGATTTCGGTGTTCTTTATATCTCCAGAATCCTTGTTTCGGCCACTACAACTTTCTTAAAAGATATAGGCTTTTTCTAATATTTATTTTCAATGCTTATTTTCATTAATTAATTAAATCATAATAATTAAGCAAATAAGCATATAATTCACATGATATTCACATAATTCCTCTTTATTAATTCAAAATGAGTTACAAAGGTTGACCTAGACTATTACAACGTTATTAATGTTTTTAGCCCAGAAACACGAGCGTTACATGGAACAACAACGAGTCACCTCTCTATGGCCTAGCAACATCGACAACTACGGTGGCAGCAACAACAACTGCCTCAGTAATAACAACATCTCGCTCGTCAAATGTCTCAATCAGGGTGGTATTAATAGACCCAAACATCTCTGGTATCGCCTCTCGAATGGTTGCGGCCACCTCCTCATGAATCATCCTGCGGAACTCCTCATCACTGGTCCCACTGCTCTTGGGGTTGTGGATTGTACCCACAATGATGTCTCTGAAACACAACAAAAAAATCATTAGAGACTCGTTTGAGCATACTCATACTCAATTCTCCATTCCTACATGCTCCGTAGCATCCTAAGGATTCTTACTTGGGTTGCATACAGATCCAATGCTTTCAGTAGTACGGGCCCAATACTACCTTCCACACCAACCTGTAGTCACCCCAAGTCCTATTCCTAGGATCCCAATTCACAAGTACTCTATCTCTCACGAATAATAGACTACTCTCTCAGTAGACCTTTCATATGATCATCCAGGTACCTCTCCTAGATTATCCCTTGACTCATAACTCTTTCTAAGTGATTCCTGCTAGATACTCATACTCAGCATATACTCAAGGCAAGTAACAGATAGCAACAACTCCTAGGCTAAGGCATCACAAATCAGGTAACTCTAGCCCTAAATACCTAGCCTATCCTTTAGCATGCATCCCTAACATCTCATAAATATCTCATAACTCAAATAAGTAAGGGTATTTTGGGAAATCACCGTTCGGGCTCTAGCTGATTGTACACACTGCTCCAACTCATTTTCCTCTTAAAACTCTTTCTCATTTTAGAAAAATTATTTCTTTTTTTTTCAAATCCTCAGATTGAGTCCAGATATACCCGAGAGTACATCCGAATACCTCAAACCAAGGCTCTGATACCAACTTGTAACACCGTAAATTTTCAAACAAAATTTTCATTGAAAAAAAATCACATTAATCTCATTAACACAGCAAAAAAATCCCCATAAATATCAAATTATCAAAACACATGTCCATAATAGTAAAATCCAGGATCCTCCAAACATACCTCAGCCTCGTATGTACAATCAAGTCGACGCCTTCTCGTGATCCTGAGAAGTACCTGAAACACATAACACATAACACATAACATGGTAAGTAGGAAGCTTAGTGAGTTCCCCAAAATACCACACATATCTCATTACCCTCTCATGGCTATACTCGAATAGGACCCTCCGGTCAATGTGTCTCAATGGAACCCTCCGGTCCCACAACTCGGGTGGAACCTCCGGTCCTAACTCAATAAGCTTAGAATAATACACAATATAAATCACGAAGACATAATGCAGGATATCACAATACTAAATATAAGCACATAAGACCCTTCGGCCACACAAAGATTACCACTCTAGGTAAGTATGGTGAGAAGACTCACCTCGTAAGCAAACAAGCAAATAAACCTTGTACACGAGTCACCGATCTAGCCTCCGCCTAAGACATATGATAATTATCACTAATTAACACTTATATAAAAAATCTAAATAAACCAACTGCTATTTTCTCTCTCTATGAAAGTTCCTAAGATCAAACAAATTATCAAACAATGACTATAAACAAGAACAACGAGGATTCACAAAGATAGACTTTCACTAAGAATGATAATCTCACAAAGAGATTATCGAAGGCACAAAGCGACTATTAGGGTTTGTGAAAGATGCCCTTTTACAAACTTGTACTAAAGACCATATATAACTAATCTAGGCAATCCCTACAAATTAGGGATATACCAACTAACTAATAGACGAAAACTATGGAAACTAGATAAGTACCAAATCTGTTACAAAAATTCTGAATATGAAACTATACACTGAGTAATTAATACGCTGACACTGACGCTGAGTCATACGCTGACACTGAGTGATCAGTCTCAAACACCATCATATTATAAGGTTCGACCTTACAATCTCCCCCAATATGATGATGTTCAAAACTAGCTAGACTAGAACACCCCTGGACAAAAATTCTTCATACTCAGCTTCAGCTTCTACTTTCACTGTCCAGTAAGGACTATCTAGCAGCTCATGTCTTCTATTCAGTAACTCCATAGCAATCAGTATATGAAACTCTCCAGAGAGATCTTGATGACTCATGCACATTTGTCTTAAACCAACAATATGTTTTGTTGGAGCCCTTGGAATTTCTGTAGTACGTTGAAAACACATTTTCCTGTTCTTATCAAGATAAAACATTCCATGTTCAGGAACAGAGATGAAATTATGTTGAACCGGATCAACACCAATAGGAAGAGAGTTCTTTATTTCTTTAGCACCAAAATTTAGAACCAATACATCTTCACCATCAACTTGAAATCTAGTTCTTCTGATTCTTGGAACTGAGGAACTTGTGCCTTGCTGATGAGGATGCTCTGTAGGAACAAGATCAAGATGCTGAACTTTCTTGATCAGTAAGTGAAGAGCACAGGTCAGTTCTGAAGAAAGAGCTGAAGTTTGCTTGGATGCCAACTCGAGCAATTACATCCATTCAGAGTATCCGTATCTAATCATCTCGTCTCTCTTTATAACTTTAGTGTACGGATGTTGAGGACCTTGACGAGTGATCAGCAAAGTAATGATTTTCTCATCGCGAGGTTTTGAGGTTTTAACTTTGATGATCTTGTCATTGCTTATTCTTTGTTTGAAAACATCTTGAAACCTTTTGCGATAGATCCTATCAAGAACACTATCAATCCTTGACTTATTGCTACTGGAAGGAGGTTGTGAAGATTTAGTTTTGGACTGATATTCTAGAAACCTTTGCATTTGAGCTTCAAAGGATCCCACTACCTGAAGTTTGTGCTGAATGAGAGATTCATCAGCTTGAGCAATATTCTTTAGAAGCTGAGCTTTATTGGCTTCATCAAGGATTTGATTAACTTGATCAGGGGTCATATTCCATTCAGCTACCAAATTTGATATGCTAACAATGGACTTATGTTTCTTGCTAGGAGGAGAAGTATCAGCATGTGAATCAGATGATTCAGTATCTGCTGCCTTTTGCTTTCGAGATAAAGGAACAAGATCCTCACTAACTACATTTGAGTTTTCACCTTGAACTGGCACAGTGGGATCTATGAAGTTCATGTCCAGCATCTGAAACTCATCATCATGTTCATCTTCATCATCATGTTCACATTCTTCAGTAGGCTTTTCAGTTTCTGCTAGTCTCTCAGACTCGTGCTCAGGCTGTGGTGAATCAGTTTCTCCCCCCTTTTGACCATCATCATCATTTGGGCTAGGGGAAGGAGTTGACAGAATAACTCCCTTCAGTTGGTTGACATCAGCCTCAATACGTAGAAGACGCAGACTCATATCTCGAGTCAGTGTAAGAAGCTCATTAAACGCTGAGGCCGGAATTTGAATGAGCTGAGTACCTGGAATTTCTTATGATCGATGCTGCTCCCCTTGAGAAGGTTGCTCCCCCTGAGCTGGTTGCTCCCCCTAAGATGGTTGCTCCCCCTGAGCATATGGCTCCCCATGAGCTGAATGAACCCTTTCAGTGACAGAAATAGTATGATGAGAAAGTTGAGAGGAGATACGACCACCGTCTTGTATTTCAGCTTGTATTTTAGCACGAATTTTGTCGTTATCAGCAGCTCCTTTGTCAGTGTCAGCGTTTACTGAAGGAACGGTATATGGATTCACGATCCATTCTCGCATCCGATCAGAGATGTCGATGTCATTGGCCAGTGGATCATCCTGATACATTCGTACTGACATGCGTGGGCATTGGATGGGGGTTCCAGCGTCTAAGTAATAGGCTTCAGCATGAAATTTATCCAGGACAAGAGCAATCCAGCGTGGAAATGGAACATGATCAGCTCTTACATTGGCCCGAAGAAGTTGGACAAGCTTATCGAAGAAGAAAGCCCCATAATCAACATGTTTGTTGAGGAGAAGTGAACATACCACTTGTTGCTCAAAAGCACTCAGTTGATCACCACTGCAAGATTTGTGACCTACACACTTACAAAGTGCCCCGGTGAAGAACTTCGATCCAGGAGTTATACATTGACGTAGAATGAGAGCTGGTCAAGCACCAGCCTTGGAGTGATCATAGCCCAGTTGGTCAAAGAAGTTTCGACAGCATTCAATAGTTGGAAGTTCAGAGAATGGTTCAAAAATTGGTAACCCGAGTGCAGTACGGAGGAGATCAGCGTTGATGAAAACTGAGCGACGGCCATGCCCAATAGTGCCGGAGATGATGTTGTTTTCATTATTGAATGTTGCGGTGTAATAGAACTCACAGACTTGTTCGGGAAAGACCTCCGATGGAACCTCACTGATAGCATATCGAAGTCTGCAAGATACTAGAAAATTGACAAAATCATCAATTCCAAGACCGTGATGAACATCTGGTATATCAGGGTTGAAGATGACATTTGTGGCTTTGATGTATATGGGAAGAGGAGGAGAGTTTGGAGCTGGGATGACTCTTCTTGAGGTGGAGTAGAAAGTAAACAGTGATGCCGCTATTGAAGAGAGTTTGGATTTTAGGGTTTTGAAGAAAAGAGAAGGAAAATTGAATTGTGGGAGGAAAATTTGGGAGAGAGGTGGTGAATGAGATTTAAATATAGGATTAAACGGTTTTTTAAAACGGTAATGATTATCTTTTTCGAAAATAACTGTGTATCTTAACAAATTGTCAAATCCGAAAAAATAGCCGTTGAAATAAAGAGGAAACGACAATCAGTGTCTGCGTAAGCGCTGAGATCAGTGACACTAAAAGTTACATGCTGAAAGATAATATGTCGTCAATTCAAGGTACAACTTGCTTGTTTAGGGTTAGCAAGGTGGTTGGTGCGTGTGATAGATACTGGTTTAATTATCTAATCAGGCACAGAGTGTTGAGTCTTTATCAATGAGTGGTGGTTCTTACTGAATCATTAGACACTGAGTGAGAAGAAGGTGAAGAGAGGATTGTTGCGTGTGATAAACCTTGGTGTTTTGGTCTAACCATCGGCAAAGACTGTTAGACTCTCATCAGCATGTGTTTTATCCCACTAAATCACAGAATCAGTGTGAGATTGGTAAGAATGGATAGTTGCGTGTGATAGATCTTGGTGTTTTGTCTAACCATCGGCAAAGAGTTTCAAGTTGTTATCAGTGTATGGTTTAATACAGTGAATCATTCAACTTTAGATTAGAAGATTTGTAGAAGAGATAGAGATAAGAGATCATACAAGGTACTCAACATGGAAAACATCATTAGCACATCATCATCAGCAAAAAAATACATCAGTTTATAAGACAATAGCAAACATTAGTAAAACAATTTTTTTTTAGTCCAGAGTGATCATTCCAAGTTCTCCAATAATGTGAACAGTAGTTTGAGTATCCAGGGCCTTGGTGAAAATATCAGCTAGTTGATCTGAAGTCTTGACATGTTCTAGAACAACCTTGCCCTTCTCAACATTGTCTCTGATGAAGTGATGTCTGATCTCGATATGCTTTGTCTTTGAGTGCTGAACAAGATTCTGTGTGATCTGAATGGAACTAGTGTTATCACAGTATATAGGAGTCTTTGTGAATTTAAGCCCATAGTCTAAAAGCTGATTTTGAATCCATAAGAGCTGAGCACAACATCTCCTAGCTGCAACATACTCAGCTTCTGCAGTGGAGATAGCTACTGAGGTTTGGTTCTTGCTAGACTAGCTGATTAGTCGATTTCCAAGGAAATGGCATCCACCTGATGAGCTCTTCTAGTCTAAGTTGCATCCTACATAGTCGGAATCAGTGTATCCAAAGAGTTCAAGTGCTGAGTCATGAGGGTACCACAATGCCAAGTTCTGAGTGCCCTTTAAGTATCGAAAAATGCGTTTAACTACAATGAGATGAGACTCTTTGGGATTAGCTTGAAATCTAGCATAGAGAATGGTTCCAAACATGATATCAGGGTGACTTGCAGTGAGGTAGAGAAGAGATCCAATCATTCCTCGATAAAGAGAGTGATCAACATCAATGCTGGTGGGATTAGCGTGAAGCTTATCAGTCTTGGACACCAGAGTAGAGATCGGTTTGCAGTCGCTGAGGGAGTACTTAACAAGCATGTCAGCAATATATTTACTTTGACAAATTGAGATACCTGATTTTTGTTGCTGAACCTCAAGACCTAAGAAAAAGGTCATCTTCCCCATCATGCTCATCTCGAACCTTTGAGACATGATCTCAGCGAATTCCTTGCTCAGCTTCTCATTTGGAGAGCCAAAGATGATATCATCGACATAGATTTGAACAAGAATCATGTCTGAGCCTTTGTTTTTGATGAAGAGTGTATTATCAATTGCTCCTCTTCTGTAGCCATTTTCAAGAAGATATGATGTCAGTGTCTCATACCAGGCCCTGGGAGCTTGCTTCAGTCCATATACAGCTTTATCCAGTCTGTACACATAGTCAGGGTGCTCTTTGTCTTCAAAGCCTGGGGGTTGTTTGAGAAACACTTCTTCTTCTAACACACCATGAAGAAATGCTGTTTTGACATCCATCTGTTAGACAATGAAGTTGATGTATGAAGCATATGCAAGGAACAGTTTGATTGCTTCAATGCGGGCAATTAGAGCAAAAGTCTCCCCGTAATCAATAGATTCAATTTGAGTGAACCCTTGAGCAACAAGTCTTGCTTTGTTGCGAGTAATAACACCATCTTTATCAACCTTGTTTCGATAGATCCAGCGTGTTCCTGTGATGGTCTTTCCTGATGGTCTCCAAACCTTGTGCCTTTTGAACTCATTCAGCTCGTCTTGCATGGCTTTAATCCAATCAGCGTGTTGAAGTGATGAGTGTATCATGTCAGGTAAGATCATTGAAACAAAGTTAACATACATGCAAAAATTATTAGATACACGAGATTTGGTTTGGACACCATCATGAAGATTTCCAATAATTTGATCAACAGGGTGATCTCGATGTTCTGGAGCTGATTCAAATGAGTTTGACGCTGAAGAGTTATCAATGAAAGGAACATCAGTTACAGGAGAGTTTTCAGATTCAAGGGTTTCATCAGCATCTGACAAAAAAGTTGTCGTGCTGATTGTAGTGCCTTGATTGACAGGACTTGGGTCTGGAATGATGGGATCAGGAATGACAGCTTCTTCTTCAGTATGTGAGACTTCATCAGATGGATAGGAGAGAAGCTCTTGAAAAATAGAAGGGGAATGAGCTACTTTTTCATCAGTGAAGGATTCTTCATCAAACTTTACATGAATGGATTCCTCAATGCATTTCCTGTTCACATGAAAAACACGAAAAGCCTTTGAAATAGATGAATATCCAACAAAAATACCTTTGTCAGCCTTAGGCTCAAATTTTGATCTGGGGTCGCGCTGATTAAGAATATAACAAATGCATCCAAACATGTGAAAGAAGGATACGTCCGGCTTTCGACCTTTCAGCATCTCATATGGTGTCTTCTTGTGAGCCCTGTGAATTAGAGAGCGATTCTGAGTATAACATGTTGTATTAACAGCTTCAGCCCAAAACGACATAGGAAGACCAGCATGAATCATTAAGGTCCTTCCTGCTTCAATCAGTGTTCGATTTCTTCGTTCAGCAACTCCATTTTGTTGAGGCGTGCGAGGAGCTGAAAAGTTCTACCCAATACCTTTAAAATCACAAAAGTCTTCAAGAGTCGAATTCTGGAACTCAGTTCCATGATCACTCCTTAGCTGCTTAACTTTGAGACCAGTCAGCGTCTCGTTTTGTCGAATCAGTGAGATAATTTTCTGTGCAGCTTGACCTTTCTTCTTCAAGAAAGCCACCCACGTAAATTGGGTAAACTCATCCACAACCACCAGCGTATACTTATTTCCTCCTTGGGAACGAACAGGAATAGGTCCAAACAAGTCCATGTGTAGTAAATGAAGAGGAACAGATATGCTAGAACATGACCTGGGTTTGAATGATGACTTGGTTTGCTTTCCTTGTTCACATGCTGAGCACATCTTGTCTTTGACAAAGCTGAATTTTGGGAGACCTCTAACTAGATCTTGATTGGATATTTTAGATAGATTCTTGAAGTTCAAGTGAGAGAACCTTTTGTGCCAAATCTAGTTGAGATTGGTTTGAGACTTGGTAAAGAAACATTGCATCAGTGCCTTGTCACTTGAGAACATGTCAAGAACATATATATAATCTTTTCTACTTGTTGAGAGTACAATGTTCTTGTCAGTGTTGATGACTCTTCCTTCCTTCTTTGTAAAATGAACTTCATAATCAGCATCACATAATTGGCTGATTGAGATAAGATTGTGTTTGAGACCCTTTACATATGAAACATTCTGAAACACCACATTATTGCACTTGATGTTCCCATATCCATTAGTAAACCCCTTTCCATTGTCTCTGTATGTTACTGCAGGACCAGTTTTCTTGACATAGTCTTCCAGGAGAGACTTGGATCCTGTCATATGTCTTGAGAAACCGTTGTCTAAGTACCAAAGATGCTCTTGACCCTGCAGTGCTGAGAAACTAGTTTGAACACACTGACCCATTTTAAGATGGGTCATTCACAAAGTTATTTGACAATATATTATAGCACTCTTTAGGAAGACAGTTCAAAGAATTTGATTTAAGAGTCCATCTTTCATTTCTAACTTTGATGTTGTCAACTCTTAACGATGTTTTATCAAACTTGCATTCACTAATCTTGTGAGAGGTGTCACCACATTTGTAACAAACTCTAGTACCAAAGTTTTTCTTGGTGAGCAGATTTCTAGATTTAACCCATTCGGATTTGAAAGATTCACCAAGTGAACTTTGAGTCCTTTTATTTGACATTGAATTACAATTGAATTTAGTGTCAGAAGAACTCTGATCAGTGATGGATAAGGAGCTGACATCAATATCAGATTTAGACTTATGCACTGCAACACTGCAATCAGGATAATGTTTAAGTTGTTCATGAACAGCATGAAACACTCCATTTGAGATAGGAAATGCGATAATATTTTCAGTGAGAGGAGTTGGTCTCTCAAGATGTGCAGGGTAAGAAGTAGGATCAATTCCGGTAATTTCAATATTACACTCAGTAACACCATTAGAATCAGTAACACAGTATTCATCAATGAGACTCTGATTAACAAAAGTGTTGCTGATAAATTTGTTTTTGAAACTATCTTTCAATTCATTCATGGAATAAAATTCAGATTCTTTTTCTTGAGATTTAAAAACTTTTTCAGCTCCAGCAAAATTTCCCACAAGGATTTTCTCACATGAATGAGGTATTTGAGCAGAAATGACATAATTAGCATTTTTGTGAGATTGAGCCCAAAGTTTTAGCACAGTTTGTTCTTTGTTCAAGAGGTCTTTAACTTTATCGATTTTAGTAGATAGCGAGGAATTTGATAAGCTAGTAACTCTTAGATTTTCCTGAGTAGTGTCAATAATGTTATTTTTCAAGGATAGTTCAGTTTTAAGAAGATCAATTTGATTCTGCATATCTCTTATGATTTGATTCTTCTTAGAACTAAGAACACCCAAATACTCAAACATTTTGATTTTTTCATTCATTGAATAGGAAACAAAATTTTGAAGCTGATACATTGAAGGGGAATCAGTGTTGTGCTTCTTGGAGTTTTCAACTGCATCAGACATATCAGCATCAAACGAACTGTTGTTGACTTCACATTCATCAATATCTTCTATCTTAGCCATCAAACATTTAACTTCATCATCCGATGACTCCTCATCAGTCTTCCATTTTTCTTCTTCAGCGACAAGAACTTTATGTTCCAAGTTCTCTGCTTTTAGCTTCTCAACCAACTTGTTGTACTTCTGCTTCCAGTATTCCTCCGAGCTTTGGGTTCTTCTTTGCTTGCATTCTTTTGCAAAATGATCAGTGCTACCACAGTTAAAGCACTGAGCTTTGCCTTTCTTTTCGGTAACATGTTTCTTGATGGCATCTAACCTTTTAGAAGATTTCCCATCCATCATCTTCTGAAACTTTGAGAAATTACGGCCTAATTTCTCAAAAGTCTTCACAATGAAAGCAGCACTACAACTACCTTTTCCATATCATCAGTCTCACCTTTAGAAGAATCAGTGTCTGAATGGTTTTCAGTGTTTGACTCTGACACTTGCTTTTCGTTTGAAAATAATGCCACTGATGACTCACGCTGAGCATCCTTCATCAGCTCCTTTCTCTGGAGCTTGGATTCCTCATAGTATCGAAGGTTTCCATAAATACTTTGTAAATCCATTGTGCTAATCTTCTCACTATTCTTCAGCACATCAACATGATTCTCCCAACCTGCACCCAGAGAATCCAAAAACTTCTGCACTAGAACAGTTCGATGCTTCAACTGATCTAGTCTCTGCAAATCATTAACAAGAGTATTAAACATGTTGAAGGTTTGAGTCAGGGTTTCACCTTTCTTTGCAAAGAAATGTTCATACCTTCTGTTTAGATCATTTATCTGAGTGGCCTTGACTTCCTCAGTGCCTTCAAAAGACACAGTCAGCGTGTCCATCATTTCTTTTGCTGAGATGCAGTTATGAACAAGCCCAAAGACATTATATGGCAAAGCATAGCTGATTGAAGCCCGAGCACGTACATATAGACCATTCTTTCTTTTATCATATGTTCTTGATTTCTCCCTAGGTGTCTTCTTCATGTCACCCTCAGGAGCATTGTTTTTCAAGGGCTGATACATCGGAACATATGGACCATCATTGACGATGTCCAACATGTCTTCATCTACAGATTCCAATGCATTGAGAGCTTTGATTTTCCACATAGCAAAATTGGTTTCATCAAATGGAGGAATTTTAGCAGAAGAATGATTTGATGAATTTAAAGAAGAAGACGATGAAGCCATTTGTTTGATAAGAGAACACTGCTCTGATACCAATTGAAAGTTCCAAAGATCAAACAAATTATCAAACAATGACTATAAACAAGAACAACGAGGATTCAAAAAGATAGGCTTTCACTAAGAATGATAATCTCACAAAGAGATTATCGAAGGCACAAAGTGGCTATTAGGGTTTGTGAAAGATGCCCTTTTACAAACTTGTACAAAAGACTATATAGAACTAATCTAGGCAATCCCTACAAATCAGGGATATACCAACTAACTAATAGACAAAAATTATGGAAACTAGATAAGTACCAAATCTGTTACAAAAATTATGAATATGAAACTATACACTGAGTAATTAATACGCTGATGCTGACGCTGAGTGATCAGTCTCAAACATCATCATATTATAAGGTTCGACCTTACACTCTAACTCTTGGGATGGGTGAAAGTCCATTTTACCCCTCCATGGTCCCCATAATCCCTGTCTTGACCAAACCCTAAAGTCAACACTCCATGTTGACCTGACTCGTCGAGTGCATCTATGTGACTCGTCGAGTCCCCTTGTTTCCTCATAAGTGTCCTGAAAATCCAACTTAACTCATCGAGTTGTCTCATCAATTCGCCGAGTTACTCATGTCTAGACTCGTCGGGGAAAACCCTAGCTGACTCGTTGAGTCAGCTCATCGACTTGGCGAGTCCATTCAGTCTATGTTCTCATTCAGACGTTTTAAGGCAGATCTACAACCTCAAACTCTAGATCTAGCCTCCCAAGGCTGAGATACCAAGTAAAGCCACAATCTTTACGTCCATGCATGGTACTTAGGGCTTGAAATGCCAAACCAAATCCTATTTAGGGTTTTAAGCATAAAGGCTTTTCTATAGATGAATAAAGTTGGGACCTCTGGACTCTAGGGACCTCACATGGTACATATTTGAAGTCTCAGTCTCTTGATAAGCTCAACACACTCAAATTCTCAATGGAATATGGAAAAAGCTCTAAAACTCCATAGAAATGAGATCTAATCAAAATAATGAGCAAGGTGGAGACTTTTTACCTTTAACATAAGCTATGGATGAAAATACACCAGATCCAACAGTCCCTTCTTGTTCCCTGCTGAGATTATTCTCTCTTCTATTCCAAAAGATCACAAAAATGCCCAATATTAACTATCTTTTCTCTCTTAGCTCACTCTAGACGGTTAGGGTTTCACTCAGTGGAGTAAGGTGGTTGGTGGGGCGGATGAGGGCTTAAGGTCCTTTAAATAGGACCCAACCCCGGAGATTTAGGGTTTCCAATCACAACACCAACTCGCTGAGTTGGTCTCTCCGACTCGCCGAGTTGGTTGTAAAACCTACGTTGCCAATTCGTCTCTACTCGACGAGTTGAGGCATCCAACTCATCGAGTTTCTCAGTCATTCTCATAAATAAATATATAAATACTACACCTGGGAGTCGGGATGTTACATGGGATATCATCAAAACTAACATGATGAACTTCATCCTTTACTTCGACAAATTCGGTACCTTACCACAGGGATCTCACTCATCTTTCATCACCCTTGTGCCTAAGGTAAAAGACTCATCTTAACTGTCCAATTATCAACCTATCAGCCTAATCGGATGCATGTACAAGATCATTTCAAAGGTGCTTGCATTAATGCTCAAAATAGTTATTGGTGGAGTCATTGGAGATGTCAATCAACTTACATAGAAGGCAAGAACATTCTAGATGGACCATTAGTGATAAATGAACTTTACTTGTGGGCGAAGAAGATACAAAAGAGGACCCTACCATTCAAAGTAGACTTTGATAAAGTATTTGACTCAATAAATTGGGAAGAATAAATTACTGAAATCGTCCCTGTGGTTTGGTCAAAATTGCACGTTTGGTCCCTAACTTTTTTTTGCACTCGGATTATCCATGTGGTTTGCTTTTGTTGCGTTTTTCGTCCCTATGGTTTGGTAAAAGTTGCATGTTTGGTCCCTAACTTTATGTATGTAAGGGATAAAAAATGCAACAAAATCAAACCACATGGACGAAAAACGCAAGAAAATCAAACCACAAGGACGATCCGAGTGCAAAAAAAAAGTTAGGGACCAAACGTGCAACTTTGACCAAACCATAGGGACTATTTCAGTAATTTACTCAATTGGGAATATATTGATTCCATACTTACACATATGTTCTTTGGATCTAAATGGCGTCTTTAGATTAGGGGTTGTCTGAACTCCTCTCACACCTCTGTCATTGTAAACAGGTATCCAACGAATGAATTCAAAATTTCCAAAGGTGTGTGTCAAGGTGACCCACTCTCACCATTTCCTTTCATTATAGCCATGGAAGGTCTCAACGTAGCAATAAAGGTTGCCAAAGATAAAGGATTATTCAAATGAGTTTAAATCCCAAATGGTGGCTCTATTCTTTCACATTTGTTCTATGCAGACGACACTTTATTTGTAGGTGAATGGTCAAGATCCAATCTAAAAAATCTAGCACGGATTCTTAGATGCTTTCACGTATCATCCAATCTAAAAGTAAGCTTTCACAAATCTAGAGTGTTTGGAATTGGGGCGACGGAAGGAGAAATTACAAATTGGGCTAGTATTTTAAGATGTGAAGCAGGATCTTTTCCCTTCAAATATCTCAGTGTTCCTGTTGGTGCCAACATGAATCTTATAAAAAACTGGAAACCAATAATCGACAAGTTTCAATTCAAACTATCTTCATGGAAATCGAAATCCATCTCCTTTGGTGGTCGACTGACATTGATCACCTCAGTTCTAGGCATTCTTCCCACTTACTACTTCTCATTATTCACAGCACCGATGACGGTCACTAAGACTCTGGAACAACTTAGACAAATTCCTTTGGGGCGGAGATGAAGACAAACAAAAAATACACTGGGTGACATTGGATAAAGTAATAGCTTCGAAATCTGATGATGGGCTTGGCGTAGGATCAATACGCATGCCTAATAGTCAAATGGTGGTGGCGTATGAAAAAAGAGGGGGACTCAATATGGGGGCACACAATAAAAGGTGTACGCAACTTTTACAATAAACCTCATGATTATTTTTCTAGAAGGTACATCAATGGCGTCTGGTATAACATTGCAACCATAAAGAAGGATCTCAAAAGGCATGACCTATAAATAGGGGATGTGTTCGAACTACAAATCAGATCCGGTGACAACACCTAGTTCTAGTATGAAAAATGGACTGACGAAGACCAATTGAAGAACCAATACCCCGACCTGTTCAACCTGGAGACAAGGAAAAGATGCAAAGTGGCGGACATAATCATTGACGGATGTTTTGTAGGTCATTGG